CCAAGAGCGTACCTTTGCTACTTTCCGGTCCTGTGAGTCTGGGCAAACATTCTACAAGGTTAATGTGAGTCCCATAGGAATTGTAAAGGAAGACTGTACAGAAAGTAGGTAATATAATTGACAAGAAAAACACGATTCTTGCAAATATTACTGTGATGTTGGTGCAATGTCTTCATTTTTATGGCATTTGAGTAATAAATATTTAACTATTTAGCGTTTACTTGTAGGTTTTGGAATAGGCTTGTATGGGTGGAAGAAAGGGTAAAAATAAAGACGGAAATCTTTTGAGTTTCTTTGCTTTGGGCAGCAGCACCAGGAAAGCTGGTATGCCGGCATCCTCCACAGCAGACAGACCTATATATTCCCAGAGCCATTTTACACAGCAGAAAGCAGTGCAATTCATTAACAGTTTTTCTCGTTTAACTAATAAATACTGGAAGTCCCAGATCGCATTCTGTTTGCCAGTGTCTTTAGCCCATATGAAGATGTGAAGCAATTCCATTTTTAATATAAAGTAGTACTTTCAACAAAACCATTTACATAAATATATTTATTTATGAGTTATTCCATCGAAGTTAACTTTCTTTTTTGTTCTTTGGGATTTAATATAGCATAAAATTAAACAACATTGATTCTTCCTATAGATTCTGGCTTCAGTTTTTCTCTACTTGGCATTGAAATGATTTATTTCACTTTCCTTGACCCTTTGAAGGGTCAGAGGCCCTCAAACAGAATCAGTGAGTTCTTGTTGAAATTAATTGTTTTAAGTTTAAAAATTGTAATTTGATCCTATGAAAAGAAAAATTTCATTTTCAATACTGTCTCAACTATAGCTGTTGTTGCTATGCCTAGAATTTTAGAAAATGTCCATTTTAAGAGGGGGTATTTAAATTAAATATAAAGAAAAGTCCCATAAGTAATTTGAAATGCTTCATCAATAGAAAAAGTAAAAAAAAAATAGTTTTGTTCTTAAACTCTTTTTGAACCATCAGCCTTTTTGTTTTAGTTAAATTAGATCAAAAGATACTGAAGTCTTAACATTATCTTTTTTTATTTTTTTTGGTTGGGGATTGAACTCTGAACCGTTTGCTTGCAAGGTAGGTGGTGGAATCACTGAGCTAAATCCCCAGCCCTTAATATCATCTTTTGCTAAATGGTATTTAATTTTTAAAACTTCAAAAGCAACAGAAGACACAAGGAGAAGGGAACTAATTTAAATCAGATGAAGGTAATAAACATCAAAATGAAACATTATATTTAAGAAGAAAATATCTTTATTCTAAAATAGATAATATTGATTATTATTTTTTCTTTTTATTGAGTTTACTGGTACACTCCAGGTATACAGTAATATTGATTATTATTTTAAGAAAAATATGATGCTCATAAGTATTATTATTTTTATACACTGTCAGCTATATTTTTATGAAATCTGAGTAATGACTTTTACCTATTTTGTATTCATATATTATATATTATATCATATGATATATGATGTGTTAATAACTATATTATACACTATATTATACATTGTATTTTGTAATCGGTAGATGATAGATAAGATAAACACTAAGACTCTGGGAGAAAAATGAACATCTGAAAATAGTTTTACCAAAATGGCAACAAAGTGTGCCATAAACAAGGCAAAGCCCAACTCACTAGAGATAACAAATCCAGTTTGAATAGAAGGTGGTGATTTTCCCCTTGGATACATGCAAGCGGATGGAATTCGGTATCAGGAAATGCATGGGACCGCCATGGGAGAGTAATCCCAGGGAGGTGACTGGCCATTATGTAGCGAGGACCTTAACATTGTTCATTTTACGTTTATACCCTGCATTCCTCACAAGAAATGATCCTCAAATGAAGATGAGGGTATTGTTATAGGGAGTTATTCAAAATTGTAAAACATGGAAACAACATTATGTCCAACATTAAGGCAAAGTGTTAAACTTTTGAATATTATTTTTAAATTTGCTTATATTTTTGAATAAAAGTGTTTTTATTACATATGAAATATTTAGCATTATCAGACACAATTAGTTTGTATAAAATGAAGGAAATCCACAAAATATTAAATTTGCCTATTTTAATGCTGCATTCTTTTATAAAAAGAGGAATTTCCCATTACAGAAGTTATAAAATCCTGTATTATAATGGAGAGAAATAACTTCGTTGCTAATATCTGAATCTGCAGTGCAGAGAACCTGCAGACATTTTATGAGTGCAGCAATAAATACATTATTGTCAGCTCCAGCATGCCCCTGAATCCTACAATTTTCTATATCAAGATCCTTCACTGAGCAGAATTTCTCTCATTTTTTTTATTCCATTTAAGATTCATTTACGTCAAATTTCTTTTGACATCTTTAGGCAAACTGAAATTCCGTGTTCCATCTTCATAGCTAATCCCTTATTTTCCTGAATTCACTTTTGGCCTCCAACCATGTAAATTATACAGAGGTAGAAAGAAGAAAATTTTTACAAGCCACTGAGTGATACCATAGATGGAATCTACAAGGGGCCGTACTGGCCTTGAGAAAAAGCTATCAGGTGAGGGCCAGAAGGTAAGAGGGAGACTGTCAGTCGAGGTAGGAGAGCAGTAGGGGCTGTTGGGGTTTCATGGTCATTACAACAATTACCTTGGCTACAGCATAAAATAATCGGGGAGAAGATAACATGTTTATGAACTTGCTGATCTGGTTAAGATCATTTCCAAGCAATCAGTTGACGGAGGTCACCATCATCTTGTATCCAAATATAGCATTGTACTTGAAGAGAAATCAGTTAAAGAATTAGTTTTCAAGCTGAATTTAGAGGCACTGTTTCTGATCTGTGCTTTACCAAGTCAGACTGTGGACATTTCACATTCAGAGGCCCTTGGGCTGGCAAAGGATTCTAAAAGTAGGACACTGTCTTGGGAAAAATCAAACTAGGGGTGCTTTCTACAAGAGAAGATCAAATCACTAGCGTAGCTCTGCGTGCATGTTCTTCCCTGCAGAAGCTCAAAGGGATTTCAAATTGTGTCTAATAGATGCTGTTAGATCAAAGTTCTAGTAAATTTAAATGGTGGTGCTCCTGGTTTCCATCTCTCATATCACACCAGGGAAAAAGGCCAGGATTATTCAGATGTATAAATAAATCTTTCATCTACAGGAGATATAATTTAATACGTAGAAATCCTATGATATTTTAGGAGCCCTGGCACCTTGCAATAAAAGGGAAAGAAATAGTTCAACTACAGCAGTATCTGGAACACTTTGCTTTGTTTTCTATTTCTTTCCATCCTATTGCTATGCTAGGCATTTTAGTATCATGTTCAAATAATAGTAAGAAAATATCATCACTAACATCTGTTGGACACTTCCTAATCCCTAGGCATTGTGATAAGAACCTTTCACGGACTACCCAACTTGTTCCTCAACAGAAACCTCTGAATTTTTGAGCCCCATCTAGATATTTTTATACAAATCACTTCATAAGAAATGCAGATGATGTGTATTTATATAATCAAGCTCAGAGCAATATTATTTATACAAATAAAATAATGAAGGGACACATATTTTAAGGAGAGGAAAGTAAAGCATTTTATATAAAAAGCTAACAGTACATCAACTAATGAAAGAATCACGATCTAATATACTTTGGAATATATATATTCTAATACACTTCTTATATATATTCTAATATACTATAGTATATTCTAATATACTTTTGGAATCTATCTATCTATCTAGCTATTCCTTTGCATGTAAAGAAAGCTGAAGATAGTGATGTGAAATAGTCCAAAGTCACAGAGAACGTGGCAGATCTGAGACTTCAGGGCTGGCATTCCGACTTCAGATGCTTCCTACCACCCTGTGCCACCCTCCTACACCAGAGCAGACTACCGTTTATACAAGAACCTGGATGACACCGTCATCGCTTGGACAGTGCCCAGCTCCCCTTTGCCCCCGAACATGCCCATTTCTCCCAAGACTTGGGAGCCGCCTCACCTCAGAGGTGACCCCTCAGGCCTGGTCCCTGGGCTCCTTTCTGAAGACCATGGCCTCTCCCGGCTAACCAGACTGCTCACGCCTATGAGCCAGCACCCCTGGGTGCTCCTCTCAGGACCAGGGATATTCACTCGCGCTCCAGAGCACAGGGAGAACAGGGCGCAGAGGAAAACGTTCCAGAGGCCCGGACACCTGCTGCATGGCCGGGGCGAGGGGACCGCTAGCTACCCCACGACTGTGTGCAGCCACCGCACACCGGCCTGATCATGTCAAAGAAATGCCCAGAGACCGCCTTTGTCAAGAACAGAAGAAACTGGAAAAAAAGAAATGATGCAGCTAGGAAAGAAATCTACATTAATGAACGAGAGAGAGCTTAGAGCTGAGGCACATATGAAAGTTAAAAAAAAAACACCTAAGTTATGGTTCCCATAGCAACTGCGACACAGTTGGAGCTCACTTTGATGTTAAGTAAGTTTAACTTGAGTGGAAATGCAAAATGCCTCCTCTGAGCCAGAAAGATAATTATGGAGAAAACATAGTGCTGCGGAACATTCTGGCTTTGGCGGATTTCAGATACGAACCCTAATGTATTAATATTTTCACATTGATTGTGCATGTTCGTTTGTATTGATGCTACACCATTTTTAACCAATTTATAAAATGAGATGATTTCAGAGGAGAAAAACATTTATCAGTAAAACCTGTTAATTCAGAGACCACGACTTTATAATTCAGAAATACAGGGTCATGTACCTGTCTGTAATTAAAGCAGAATATTTGCTGAAAGTTCAATTTATGGAAATACAATCTGATTACATCGACAATCAAATGCTTTAAATCTGACATTTTCAATTACTGAAAACAAGAGGCTGAAGACAAGCACACAGGATGGAAGAGAGGAATGCATACTCCTGGGAGGGTTCATATGCCATTCTGTCAGGCATTTATATTTTAAACATCATTCTTTATTTCAATAAGTTAGGAAAAGGCAGAAATGGTACTTACTCCCGTTATGTAACGAGGTCTATATTGAATAGTTCCAAATAAACCAAGAATGACGATAATAATATGTACAAAATTTGCAAGGATGGGCGATGACGATAATAATATGTACAAAATTTGCAAGGATGGGCGCCCACTGGTATCCAAGGAAGTCGAATATTTGCCTCTCCAGCACACAAACCTAGGACAGCAAAACAGAATCCACAGATCAGCTCATAGGAGAAGCATCACAGCGGCAAGAGAAAAAAGGCTCAGGTTGATGTTACAGTCAGCATTCATAACTCTGCTAGGGCATCGGCATTTGTCTTTAACAGCGAGAATGACATTTTCGGGGATGTTTCAAAGGAGGACTGTGTCTGTATGGATCCATTCACAGTGACAATCCTTTCAGGTGATTTTGTGGAGGCATCACAAGATGTCACATCTGAGCAGTCACTGGAGAAGTTACTCTGTCAGGTGCACTGTCAAACACAAAGTTATCAGCAAGTTAGGTAGGTCCACAGCCAGGGCTTATTGTGAGGATCTGCACCGATGGCACTCTAAGTTAGGAATAGAGCAGAAGTTTCCGGTACAGAGGAATGTAAGCAACAGCGAGACACTTGGTTTCTGGCCATGTCTGGCAGTGTGTGGCTGTGGCAGCCTCCTGAAGGCCCTCCTTCTTGGGGTGCTGATTCCTCACTGCACAGTGCAGACCCTCGGCTAGGCCTGATGGGTCCTTTTGGTGCTCATCACCTTGGGTTAAGAATCCAGTATGACTTTTACGTCACACACAGTGACTTCCAGAAACAAGGTAGGAGAAATCAATGAAAGGGACTTAGAAGGGTCACCAATCACCCTGATAAAAGCAGGACAAGTTCTTTCAAATTGTGCTACTTTCATCTACAATCACGCATTTGTAAGAGAAGACATCTAAACATCCAAGCAGCGAAGAGATAATAAAATCAACCAGATGACCACACAACATGGAAAGGTGAAAATCAGAGGGCTGGCAAGTCGCTCATTCAATGTAAGGAAACAAAGCAGGCTGATGACTCTATTCTTCCTGTCTGTTCTAAGTGGAACATAAAAAACTGTCCAGAGAAACACTTAGAAAGGATTTGATGTTCTACAGCAAAGTGAAATATTGGCTTTTCAGCCATGTTTTAAAGATAACAGATTGAAAATCTCTAAGTCACTAACATCACTCTATTTTGATACCTCTCGTTAGAAGGAAATATGGGTTCTCCAGATGGCCAGTGAGCTTTCAGATTAAATATCTGCAGCTCAGTTTGAAGACTGAATGAATGATCACTCTTTCCATTGAAGCTTGTAGATGAGCATAATATTTCCCCATCAGGAATGGAAAGAAAAAATACAGTCACAAGAAGGGGTAGCCCGGCCCCTCTCCTCCCTAAGGTCCACTGTGCACCTGCTGCAGTGGCTGTGATAGGCACCCTTCTGCCAGCCAGATCTTCATTTTTGCAGCTTCTTATGGGAAATCCATTAAGTCACCAGAGTCCCAGCAAGATTCTGAGTGTCTGACAGCCATAGAGGGTCTTAGAACTTCAATTTCACCCAATTTTATAAACCTCGTGAAGACTGGGCTGCCTTCAAGCAAGCTAAAGATTCCTTCAACTGTTTTATGCAGTCAACACTTGGCAAAAACAAGGCCTCTCTGTGACACCGCTGAATTAGAATCTATGGGTGTTACCACAATCTAAGTCTGTATTCTGAGAGGCCAGTCCCTGAGCGTCTACATAGAAGTGTGTCCCAAGATGGAGGCCTCCTCTCCTCAGCCTGTGAGCAGACAGCAAATAGGAATGCGAGATAACAGCAAGAAAAATCTAAACTCTATAAATTTTGAGCATCATAACTGTGGGGAAACAGCAGGGAAAAGAACAGAGGATGAAACGCATCAGTCAAACAGTGGGAAATTTCTCCATAAATGCACCAATTATGAAAGAAAAGAGCAGTACCATCATTAATTATAAAAAATACATCAATGATAATGTACTCCCTCAGTTTGCAAGGCTAAAATGAAATTCTATCAACATTTATCAGGTTTTTTATGACAGAACTAATAGTCTCTTATAAGACAAAGTTCCTGTGTAATTCTTCACGTATAATATTTTTATTTTTCTTTTTTTATTGGCCCTATAATATAGAGCTGGGGCTAAAGCTATATTGCACTAGGATTGAAGCAGGGAAGATATTTTGAAAACATCAGAGAACATAAAGGGAGCAAGTGCTGATAGGAATACTTCGTATTTCTTAGACTCCTTTCCATGTGGGGCTGGTACTTGGGTCGAGAAGAAAAGAACAAATATTTGTTAAAATGCCCGCTCTTTACTGGATACTTATGTAGTCTTCCTCAGGCATGACAAAAGCCAGGAAAAAAAATATTATGGTCTTATTTTGAAAATTAAGGAATCAAAAGTGTAGAATAGTTAAAGGATTGGCCCGAGGTAAAGAAAAAAAGGTAAGTAGTACAATAGGAATGTAGACCTCAATAATTAGAAGGCCTCTCTGTCAGCGATGGCAGACCTACGGCGCATGTGCTGCAGAGAGCTGCTGAGAGGTCTGAAAGGCTGGCCCCGGCCGCCTTCACTATGTCACTACTGGCGTCATGCTGCCTCCACTCACTTTATCTAGTCCCAAACCCAGACGATGTCATGGGTCATGTTGGAGATGCCATGCTGTTGACAGGATGTGCGCTATTTTATTACTGTATTTATTTTGGAATAGTACAGACCTTCTCTGACCACTTTTGTCCTTCATTACATTAGATCATGTTTGGTCAAGGAAAACCTCCAGAGTTGTGTTTACTTTCCTTTCTGCCTCCTTGAACATCTGTTCAGTGTGTTACTCTGGTTTTGTTTATGGGACTTGCTTTCATGTATGTATCTAATGTTCTTCAAATCACTCGATATATTGGTGTAGTCTAGAAAAACATACCATTGTCGTTTATGTCTATGGTTTATTTTCACATAAAATATCTTATGGTATAAGTCTTTCACTTGTGTATTTATTTTGTTATGTACAAATTTGGGTTCCTTTTGTTGTATCCTACGGAGCAATTGTATAATGTACAACGCATTGCTAGAAATTCATTGTTATCACAATAATTCTGTATTCTTCCATCACTGTTTTTTAAAAAGTTTTATTTTTAACAGAAATAGGGGCTAATCTTCATCAATTACTATTTCTGTACATATTGATATAACTAAAGTTTTTCTCAATAAACTATTGTCTTTTTTTTTTTTCATACCAGGGTTCAAACTCAGGACCTTGTGTTTACCAGGCACATGCAGTGCCATTGAGCTAAATCCCTGGCCCTTGTCATTTTTTACACCTAGTAAATTAGTACATCTTCAGCTTCTATTGAGTTTTATTTATAAAGTTTAAGCAAAATAAAATTTTATTTTAGCTTGTTGTGTCTATGAATGATCTTATAATTCAAGTTCTTTTTCTCTGTTTTAAAGGTTACACTTGCCTCAAACCAGAGTATGGCATAAATTTTATGAAACTGTTTTAATAAACATCAAGGGGGCCTGTGAGTCTCATTTGTTCTCCAAGAGCAACCTGGGGCAGCCTGCAGTATCACTGCTGACTACATAGCTTTTCGGTGGGATTTTGTATGCACCTGCTAGGATATAGGCACATGTCGTCTACGAATGTGTAAAAACTTTTCATATCACTTTCATTTGCATATATAGAACTGCAGTCTCCTTTGGGGTAGATATTTTCAACCTGGATTTCCCATTTAGTGACATTTCATAAGGTTTTCCATCTTAGCAGAACTTTTGTTCATACATCTAATGTATTTTACTCTTATTAAAGGATTTCACTTTCATTTTGATATTTAATCTATTTCTAACTTTTGGCTGTAACACTATGAATATATTGAACAACACTGTCAATATATGGTGGTGTGCTGATAGGCTAAATTCCCCCAGTATAGAAATACAGGGGTAACTCAGGTTGCAAAATCATAAATATTATGAGAAATGTCATTCATTCTTCTTTAATGTATGTATGAAATAGAAGACATGAAAATTACCATTTTACTTTGCACTATAGTAAATGTGAATTTTAATACCGACTATTAATATAGTAGAACACACTAAAGCTGACAAAATGTTCAAAATCCTTTCTGTCAGGTATTATAAGTACTCTCTTATTTTCATTGACAATAATTGATCATCAGACAGAACTATCTAGTGTCTTCCCAGTAAATAAACTTAGTGGCTTTTCAAACGGGAAAAGATTCCTAAGCTTACACATCAGAAAACTGGGCAGAATGAAATAAATAATCTGTAAAACTAAATTTTGTCTCTTAGAAGAATATTTAGTTTGATTCAAACATTTGCATCTAAATGGGAAAACTTTGATATATATATATATGTACATATTTTGTGTATGTGTGTATATGAAACTATGCAACATTAATATCACAAATTACATATATGGCAGCATGAAATTTTTGAATGACAAAATGTTTACAGGAAGTTTTCTCAACTGATAGGACCCCAAACTGACTCACTGAGATATTATGCTTTACTAATAACTGAATTTCTTTTCTTCATTGTAATAAGTTTCCCAATTAAAAATGTATTACTTTGGTTAAAAAATTTTACCAATAACTAAAATTTCTTAAGTGAGTTTTCTCTCCAATACTATTGTACTTTATTCATATTCTTACATTTAACTTGTGAATAGAACAGAAAACATGAAATATAACTTAATACCTAAACTTTGAGAGGAAACAAGTAGACTTTTTATTTTATCGAGGTGGAAAATGATTTCCTTTCTTTCAAATAATATGTTATTAAAGGCTGAGGACAAGTAAATTCAGTTTGTGGTTTAAATTATAAATTGAAATTACATTTCTCCCTGGATATCCGATGTCCACTGCCTATGTCTCCTCTCCTCTTTCACTGTCTCCAGACCTCTTCACGAATTTGTGCTTCCTGAGAGCTGATATTCTGTGCTGACAGCAAAGAGAGACTCAGAGGCCAAGGTAGACATGCAGGGAGAGCTCCCATCCTACGTCTGTTGGATTTAACAACCTGGGCTTCGGGGAAATGGCAAAACTTGCCAAAAGTTAATTAAATATAAATCATGAAGTTCCAGGAGTCAATACAACACCTGATTTTAGTTTGCATTTGCAGTTAGTTTACATTTGCTTGGGCTGCATTTTAATTGCTTGCAAGGCATGATAACTTACTAACAAGCAAAGTCAGTCTTGTTAGGGCACAGAAAATGTGAAACACTAGCACAATTCAAAGATGAAAACTGAAAGGGGAATACCTGTTCCTGGGACGTGCCAGAGATCTCTTCATCCTTAGATACTGCGGAAGTCTAGATAAACTTCCTGCCTGACCTAGAGCAGGGCTACCTGTCAGAGTTCGCCAGTGGGAATTGACCGCCTTTTCTCCTCCAGTCCATTGGAGAATGGCCAAGGTCTCCCACTGCGTTGTATCCACTCCCTGTGTCTTGCCCACTGAAGCCTTCGCACACCAACCTGAATGAGAAATGGAAGCTTCTGCTACTTTCTCCCAGATAACAACACAACAAAAAGAACATTTTGCTCCTTTAGCTGGATGCCACATCCCAAGGGACTTTTTCACTCGGATTAAAGTTCTCCCCCTGTCCAACTCCCTAGTACAAACTTTCCCTTTCCTGGCAGTCTGTTCGCTTTGGCAAAGCTGCTAGTTGTGCTTGGGCCCCGATGGCGGTGTTAGATTGGCCACTTCGCTGGCTTTGCCATAGTCTGGACGTGACTCTTTCAGGGTTGAAAAGGAGGCCCCGTGTAAGTTTCTTGTGTTTCTAAAGCATGCTCCAATAAAGCTGTAAAGACCTTCGAGACATTTGGAGTCTTCACAACATGGCCGATGCACTGATGTATTTATAATATCGCCTAAAATATCACAGTATTATGGAGCAGAATGATATGTAAATATGATTGATGATTTCCCTTCGTTACCATTCTCAGTATTATTCAGAGTGGGCAAGTGAGAAAACACATGTCAGTTTTTAAACATTACATGCAGGAAAATATATATAGTACCAAAACCTTCTGTCATTTGACTAAGAAAATGTCTTTACATATACAATGAAGATAAACTTGAAACAGGCCTGCTGCAGTGATCATATGTGTAAAATATGGAGAAGGGTAATAGACGAAGTTCAGGGCTTACAGATCGAGATCTTACGGAACAGTGCTAAGCCTGATGTGGTGGTCCAAGCCTATCATCCCAGCTGCCAGAGGATCAGAAGTTCCCTGGCCCGGGCAATATAGCAACTTAGTGAAACCCTGTCTCAAAAGAAGTTCAATTTAAAAGAGAGGCGGGGATTTAGCTCAGTATGAAGTTCCTGGGTTCAATTCCAAGAACTAAAAGAGAAGATAAGGAAGAGGAGGAGGAGAAGGAAGAGGAGGAGCAGGAGGAGGAGGAGAATTTCAGTTACATGAATGGTTGGAGTTACATCAAT